ACTATGCTGGATGGACGATCATAGGAAAAATCAGCGCCAAGTGTTGAATACTGATTTTACTGGAGGGAGGATCTTGTGGACAATTAGTGCCACTAACTACAGTTATGGAGGGAGAATATTGGGGACAATTAGTGCCACTGACGACAGTTAATGGATGACCTGAGGTAAAATCAGTGTCATTGACTACTGGTGTACTGGAAGGATAATATTCTTAACAATCAGTGCCACAAGCGGAGCACTGAATATACTTAATTATTGATGATCGTCGATACAATACCAAGCAGTGGCCTCACTGGTGAATGATCTTTAAAACAATCAGTGTCCCTGACTGCAATGTATATATGATCTTGAGGACAATCATCGTCTATACTTGATGGATGATCTTGGGGCAATCAGTGTTAATGGTTATACTGGGTGGATGTTTTTAGGAAAAACAGTGGCAAAGTCTAAGCACTGAATGCGCTTGATGGATGATCTCTGGAACAATCAGTGCCACATGTAGATAGATAAGCAGATACTTTCTATTAAACCAATTAACAAAGGTATAGAGAAGGAAACATATAATTTAACATACAATGCTTTAGGTGATACATGGAGTAAATTTGTACAAAAGACAATTCAAAAATAGAAAAACAAAAACAACAACAACAACAACAACAACAAAAAACACAAAAAAAGCAACACAAAAAAAACCCAGAAATAGGACATTAATAAGGATTAAAAGATAGAAAAAAGTAAAATAACAAAAATACCGAACTCCAAGGGAAATTCAAAACGGAAAGTCCTTAATAAAATGGCAAAATCAAAAGCTCAAACACATCAAACGAATGGAAAACAAATGTCATATTCCTGACTTGGTACAGGCATTTCCTAATGTAGAACATGGTGGATTTAACCTGGTTTTACCTCTCACTTGTATGACAGTTGCATAGAATTCCATTATATTGACAAAAAATGTGTGAGCAAAACAAACAGACATAGTAGGTCAAAATGTCAAAAATTGGGGTACAGCAGTCAACATTGTATTCACTATAAAACAAATAACTATTTCAACAAACAAAATGCCATACAGAAACTCTATAGACAAAGCACATAAGTAAAAACGAAAGACAGGAATAGACAATTGACCATAGCACAATAACACAATGGCGGGATGTATAAATACCGAGCCACACCAAAAGTATATTACCAAAAATGGACTAAACAGTAAAGGTTAAAAATGTACAAGGACAAATAAAAAGAACATAGATATATAATAAAATGTTAATTGATGAACCCAACAATTACGGCAAATCAGTGACAAAAAGGATTCGCATTGACCATATTGAATGGATGATTGTGAGAACAATCATTGACACTGGCAACCCTTAGGAAAATCAAACTCAAAATCTAGGCACTGACTGTACTGGGTGTTCCTTGGACAATCAGTTCCAAATTAAGTACTGATTTTACTGTCTGATGATTATGGGATTTCAGTCGGGCAAATAACCTAGTGATAGAACAATGCGGGTATTGCCATAATGGTACTATATCCTAAACCAATCAATTTAAAATTGTGGCTTCATTAAAATCTAGTTTGCTTGTATATTGCAACAGCTGAATATTGTAGGTTAACTAAAATTAAGGTAGGCTCTGTATGTATTTCTTCGATTCCGAATCCTTAAACGAAATCAAAATCGCCGACATTATCGGATAAGTGCTTTCGGTAAACAACGACACAGACAAACCCTGACCTTTGCAAGGAACTGTCTGCACTGGTAGTAATCTCAATTATATATATATTACTTTTACCTGACAACATTTGCACTTAGTTTCTTCGAGAAGAACAATGATTCTATTGTTACCAATATTCTTTGTTTTCTGTCACGGATTGCTGTTGGATATATCAACACCAGCAGGTTTTAAAATTTATCAGAATGAAAAAAAATCTTATTTTCATGTTAACGAAAGATGTGTTGGTGTCATGTTGAAATGATTCCTACATAAAATCTGTTTTATTTCAGTTTTAGGTTACTAAAACTTAATTTAATGAAATTAGGAATTTTGAATACTATACTCCTTATAATATGCAGTTTTAATTGAATATGATAATGCTTAAATTAATCATTTCAAAATGGTAGTCAACATGTTATGATTAGCAGGTATGTATTACAATTGTACATCACACATATATAATACGAAATGTGTTGTCTTTAAGCAAATTTGTATGTTTTTGGTGGGAATTTTTTTTTTCTTTGGATTATCATTTCTTTTCATTTAAACGCAAATAATCTTTCAAAATATTAATGTAAATAAATGTTAAAAATGAATTCAATTAGCAATAATCAATATACTAAGTTATATTACACAAAACGGTTATAAAAACATTTTCTCCTAAACTGAACATATTAGATGTTGTATTTTAATGTAATGATTTCTAGCGACTATGAATATATTGCAACTGTCATAAAAATCTGAATGTTCAGTGTTTTACTTGACTCAAACAAAGGTATTTCAGGATGAGCAAGGCATATGTTTAACTCTAATCAAATGCAGGTATTTCTGGACTGAGCCTGGCATGTGTTTAACTCTACTGAAATACCATTGTATCTGGGTGAGTCAGGCATGTATTTATCGCTTCTCAAGCACAGGTGTTTTCGGATAAGCCATGAATGTGTTTTAAACTCTTCTCAAATACCGGTGTTTCTGGAAACAAACTTAGAGGGTTTTTAAAAAGAGAGGCAAAATATGTCAAAGGAATATTCAAACTCATAAGTCGAAAACAACTGACAATGCATTGTCAAAAAACGAAAAACCAGAAAAATACAAACAACAGTACATAAAAATACAACACAGAAAACTAACGACTGAACAACACGAACCCCACCAAAAAAGAATCAGGTACTCCGGAAGGGTAAGCAGATCCTGCTCCACATGTGTCGTATTGCTCAGGTAAGTACAAACTCTAATTTGATAGGTCACATTCCAATGACAGTAATTGTTAAGATTCTATTACATTAACCTTACGATTTGTTACTATCCTATAGAACAAAAATGACAAGTCTTTTACAAAAGGTGATGCATGTTTTGTGATTTCGACTTTTTATTTTTTCGTTTTTAGGCAATGGGTTTTGTTCTTTTCCGTGCAAACTACAAGATAAACTTTTTTATAATGAAGCTGCAAACGACACGGTTATTACTCCAAACCCGTATACACTGGAATTAGCTTCACAGCAAGATAATAAAATAGTATGCTTCGAGAGATCTGGATCTTTCATTGTAAACAGGTAATGTAAATTAGGGAAATTAGAAACGATGGTTCTGTTTTGTTGATCTATTGGCTCTCTCTGTACACATAAACATTGTGTTCCTTCGTATAGTCAATCCAATGCTTGATTTCCTATCGGCAACACCATGAGCTGCAACTAGGCGTGAAAGTTTTCTCCTTGTCGCAAAAGAGCTTGCAATGTGTTATATCAAGCAATGGTTTTGCATTATATTCCTTTTAATTTTGTTTTTTTTTATCATTATTTTTTGTTCTATATTTTGACAATCTACAAAATTTAACATTTTACATGTATATAAGGTTTCAACTCCCTCCGGCAAAGTTGAAATTAGATGGTTTTTGCTTTTATTTTTATGTCCTTTTTCGTCATATAGCTGTTCAACTGTGTCGGTTTTACGCACCATTGGGTTAATAATATTCGGCTTTGAGCGTTCCTGATGAAGGTAAATCCATAAAAGCGCTTCGGACGCATGAAATTCATAAACTGTTGTTTTAATTTTGTTAAGATCGATTCTGAACTGAATCTTTTAATCAAAGTGCATCTATTATTCTTCTCACTACCATGAAAGAAACCGCTTTTCTTTTGGATTACGGTTATTTTTAAGTATTTCATGTCAATATTGTCTCGTATGCTTCCCCCATTTACCTTTCTTCCCTAAGCCTTTACTTTTTTTGGGACACTTTCAATAATTATTAACACCAGGGTTGACTGGGGTGTGGAAATATGGCCATCCCCGTACTTCTCCCATCCGGCAGTAATACCCTTCATAAAGGGGAGCGCCTGTTTGGCTGTGCGGGATGTATAAAACGCAGACACGTACGGTCGGAATGGAGATTTTATATACAATGCCTCGTGTAGGGTTAAGGAACAGTTGCAAAAACTACCAGAGAGCTTCGTAGGTGGCTTGTTTCCAGTTCAAATTTATGTGACCTTCTTTGCAGAACATAAATTGACATTTTTTCTCGTCCTGAATATACATGAAATATTTGCCACTGGCAGCAGCAATCAATCAATGACATTACCGAAACGTCAAAGATTGTATGGTCATCCAAGACGAAGGTTCCCAATTAAAAATATTGTCATATCGATATAAATAGTGACAATGCGTAAATAATTTAAGGAATTATGTATCATTTTGAACAACCTATTCTAATTGTAAATATTATGACGATTATTTTCCATTTCAGACGAGGCACCAATAATGACATCTACAGATGTATAAAGATCATTGATGTATGCGACGATGCATTGGTAGTGTTGCAGACAAAACTTTGTAAGATGGACTCACTATTGTACAACAAAGATAAAAACATTGTCTCACTCTCTTTATTTCCTACTCTTGATAGCGACCTCTGCTGAAAAGATCTAATAATTTTGTTAATTGTGCAAATTATTTTCGAAGATTGCTTCCTTTGATCTTCATTTCCCGAAACAGCGATCAGAATTTTCTATTTTGACACCAGGGAAGATCTGTTAGTTTGCTGATATGCTAAGCTACTATAGGAAGTAAATGTTTCTCCGGCTTATTCCGTGTTAATTTACATGGAATATTTGGTTTGTATATAAACAACTTACAAATTTAGAACTAAACCTGAAATAGTGTATACTAAGGCTTTAAAAAGTTTAGTAGTTATTTTATTTTTATTTTTATTTTTATGATTTATTTATTTATTAGTTACATTGACGACTCCGCCAAAACTTTGTGAGCTCTGTACTCCCGACAAACTGACGTTACAGCCTGAACTATGGGTTGGTAAGTAAACTATTTCAAATACTAGTACATAATTGTCTGCATTTTAATCATTTTTACATTTTACCGAATATTTTATTTTGAATTACTGTCATATTAACGGAGTTATGTATGCAACTACGTGTAAAATTCTAATTCTAATAGACACGGTAACGCACGTAGTACGAAAATAAAGACAATAAGAGTTTTTCGCTGAGGTTATTTTAGAACGGACCATACCATCTTTTCTCGCGACTCTGTCTCTCTCTCTGTAATCTGTCGAAAGACTCTTTCTAAGCTTGCCAAGAAATGTTGATATAGATTAAGGGCCAAAATGAGTACAGATTGATTAAAACTTCAGATAGCGCACTGTGTCGAATGAGTACAGTGAGTATATAAATAATCCATGTATGTCAGATGACATATTACGTCTTTCAAAATTCTGTTTGAGATCTGAAATGCGAGGTATATACCTCAAGGAATGCAGTTTAACAAAATATCATATTGGAATTATTGATAACAGATTCTTCTTGTAGACCTTTTTTATTCAAATATAATTATGTTGTCAAACAGTAAACAGGTATAGATAAACTATAGTTTTTGTACAGTTATATGTTACTTCTGGGGGACTTTGTGTGATTTTTATATTGTTGTATTGCTGTCTCGTTGACGTATACCCCACATCTCTTTTCTTAATTACGACGACAGTAGTTTAAGGATGTTCAAATCTCGTAAATCGATTTTGAAGAGACAAATCAAGGTTACAAACACAAACTATTGGAATCGTATGAAGTCCACAGGTAGCGAAACCAGTTAGTCGGTCGTGTAAGCGTCTCCTGTTATGCATATATTTCAACGAACCCACACGCAATCAAAATGTCCGAATCGAAAACAAGACACAATCGGTTAATTGCAGATTAGACAACTATTATGGGATCTATAGATCTTAGACCGTCGCTAGTGAGTTTGAGACTCCGACACATCGTATCGGTCAACCGAATCGTGATGGTGACTGTAAACTTATGTAGTATCGATTTCGGTCATTCTTCCTCGTGTAAGTAACTCCCCTGTTAATGAAATCCATATGGTGTGAACATGCATGAGCATAACGTATTAACTGAGAACGACGGAGTAGAGTGTATGACAAAATGTTACTGCAGAGAGATAGTAAGTTGATAATTGGAGTGTTGAAATCATCACGTTTGTATGGTGGCCAGTTAAGGCAATTTCGCGTTTTCGCCTTTCATATTCTATAGGGCGAAAACGCAAAATCGCAAACATGAAAAAGCGAAAACGCGAAATGGTTTCACTTCTCGTTTTGACGTTTTCGACTTCGCGTTTTCGATATCGCATTTTCGCGTTTGTTAATTACTGCCCACATCTGTCAATCATTTCGTATTTTTTATTTGATTAGATAATGATTAACAATTTCAAGAATACCTGCCTGGATAGTATTATTTTCTGGATAGTATAATTTTCAAGTACTATTAATTTTTACAACGAGTAAAGATAGTATTATCATTATCATTATTATCATTATTATTATTCATTTGGATTAAACCAATTTTCAATAAGGCTCATTGGATAGTGAATTACACACTATTTGACCAATAAAACGTGATATAATATTCTCTAAGTAACGGGAATAATTTCAGATTCCTTAAATAGTTCAAGTATAGATGGTTTTCAAATATCGTGTTTGAATAAATTAATTCTAGCTGCCCTTTTTTTGCAATTTTAGTAAACTGTCAATCAAAAACTTGTTACAGTTTAGGGACGACAGCCCATGTGCCGTGTGCAGAATCTTTTCAGGTCACGTGGTTCGATTTCAGCTTCCGTTTATCAATTTAAGATATTGTAAAAGTTCGATTTGTTCATGTTTTAATTTCAAATATATTCTAATGCAATCAGGGAAACTACACCAAGTTTTAACATGGAAAAATTTATTGATGATCAAAAATCACTTTTACATAAAAACTTTAATGTATTTTTAACTTCGTTTGGGTAAATTGTATCTAAAAAGATTATGTTCCGTAATAGAGGGAATATTATTCGCGGTCTGTAAAAATACAAGGCACAATTTTTTGTTAATAATTCGTTAGTTCGCAAGTAAAAAACCTCGAAATTTATAACAGTTAAAGAATATTGTTCAAACAGCCTATAACATAAACGGTCTCCTTAGTTCTCCATCCGTTCCTGCATATTAAGGAGGGGGTGGACAGGGCCGGGGTACTCTCAAAAATGTTCAAGATTAATTTAAAATGTTCACTAAAAAAAATGTAAAATAGTTTTTTATTTTTTAATTGTGTATTTTTTTTGTGTATTGGTCGGCTTCGTTCTCTATTGAGTTTTTCGTGTTTTTTTTCTGATAATTGATAAACTTGAAGAGTCCAATATTTATAATTTTGTATCAAATTAAAGTTTTGTTTCGAATCAAAGCTCAAAATCAGTTAAATGACTTTCATAAACGAGTATTCAATTAATGTTCATGTCGTACGAAAAAGGCCACGGAAATAGCAGTTAAATAAGGGGATACATTTGTGTATTCCCGGCAAATAATGACAACTACCCAATTCGGTTATTATATATACATGAATGTATATTGTATAATTATAGATTATCGTTGGTTATCTCAACTAGATTGATTTTCTCGCTTGAGCCGGTACGGCGAAAGCGAGAAAAGCAATCGAATTGAGATGATCAATGATAATCTGTTTATCGCTATTTTACCTATGAAGACGTTGTTAATTTCCTTGACAACGGCACGTGTTCCCTTAGTTTCTAGCGATAATTTTCATATCACTCGACTCCGCTGAGAACGGAAATTATCAGTCAGCAAGATCAAAGGAAAAATTCGTAAAATAGCGATAATCATTACAACTGTTTACATGTATATTACTGCATATGTTTATAATCTCATTCGACAAATTTCGACTGTCCAGGTGATGCTCACAGCACGAACTGCTTGTAATAAACGCGACCGATCGATAATATAAGTCCAATATGCGTGCCGTGTGCATAGTGTCGTTCCTCCTCTGTCCCATACTGAACAACAGTAATCCAAATGTAGTAGAATATAAGCATTGTAAAATGATTTGATTTTGGATGTCACACGTCTTCTGATTGGCTAAAAGTTTTTAGTCTATCATCTCATATCCATCTGGTATGGAGTATAGTTATTTAATAATTTATTTTTTAATATAATTTATCTTAAGAATCACTGTATAATTAATACTATATATATATATATGTATATGCTCGGAAACGGGCACTATAATTATATTCAATAAATATTCTTATTCTTATTCTTAGACACAATTTTGTCATGTGACCGTGACCTCATCGACGTTTTTTCATGATTTACTCCTTAAAATGGAATTTAGAATAAAATTATAAAGAATGACTGTCAAAAATGTGGTGCACACTGAATAACCCGCAAAATTGCGTAATCGCAAAGTCTAAAAAGGGGAAAACACGAAAACGTAAAGTTGAAAACGCGAAAACAAGAAGTGAAGCCATTTCGCGTTTTCGCGTTTTCGACTTTTCGTATTTTCGAATTCGCGTTTTCGCGTTTTCTACTACGCGTTTTCGCCCTATGATTATGAAAGGCGAAAAAGCGAAAACGTGAAATGGTCTTAACCGGCCACCACACGTTTGTCATAGATCTAACCCTCAAAGCTTAAGCCCACGTCACTTCACATACTTAAACATGTAGTCAGGAGGATATGACTGTCTTTCTTGTGATTTTAATGGCGATATAATTAAATACAGTTGCCTCCAATAAACATTTAAAAAAACATCTAAAAGGTTTTCATTGAAACTGTTGGTCTGTTTTGAGAAACACGAAGGATTTAAATTTGGCACCGCCTGCTAATGATTTTAAGATTGCGCCCAGTTAAAAAAAATGTAAACCCTCCTTTTCAAAGTGATAAAATATATTTCATTGATTGTGAAATAATATTCTTTCTGAAATTTGTGAGTGTTTTAATATGACATCTTAGATATAAGTTTACATTGAACCCTGTCAGGTGTAAAATGTTTGTGAACTCGATGGTCTCTTTTGGAGAATGCAAAAAATAGAAACGTTGATTCATTCACACATACCATATGAGAGACGCAGGTGCCCAGCGATTTATTCAGTATGATTGTGAAATAACTATATAGCAGTTTAAAAAATTGCGACACTGCTTAAACTGTTAGAACAGAATATAAAATGTCTTTCATTCATTTCATTCGTATGCATATTTGAAGTTTCTCCTATTTATGCAAAATGTCGACTTCATTTTTGCCATTTCAGCAATGAGCAAGACATGTAAGTGTTACATATATCATTATTATTCAAAACAAATCTATAAACCTCTTAATTACCATACAGAAGATACTTCCGCGCTCCTGCTAACGTTACCAATTCAGTCGAATAATATAATCCTTTATAAATCGGCATTGGATGTATATACTATAGACACACGGATCTTTGCAACCTGAATAATTTTAAAAGTCTTTGAACATTTTCTGTTTAGCTTGCAAAATTTTAAATGAAAATTCTTATAACAGTTGGACTTAAATCTCCGTTGCCAAGAACAAAAAAATGAGAAATATTGTGAAAATAACATTTAAAGATTTTTCATACACAAGTTCATTGGCTAACTTTTGCACAAAATATAAGGAAATTTTAAAGTGAGGTCATTGACTCACTGCATTTGCATGATAATGATGATAAAATAAGGTGAGAGCACTTCCACATCTCAAGAATTCGATTATTAGGCCATATATCTTATTATACGGTATCAGTGTTTCTAAACAGGTATCGTCCCCATTTTAAGTCACACACTGTCCTGCCAAAAGTTAAAGTGCATTTTCAGACTCATCAAGCAATTTGTACATTTTTACCGTGGCCAATTTTGCAAATAAACGTAAATGCATTTTCTCATTAAAATAAATTATTAGATATATGAATAAAGGCTAATATTTTTGTGTACATACTGCAAAAAGATCAAGTATAAGCAAGTTTTTAAAATGTTATCAAAAATATGATCGAAAAAAAAAAATTCAATATATATATGCATGATCCAAACCAGCAAATCTTTTTTTTTTTGGTTCTAGTAATAGGATGCAACGTGCCGTCTACATGTTCTACTACTAGTGGCACTGACCAGAAATGTGATGGATCCGAAAGTAATATTCCAGATAACGGACACAATTGTAAAACAAGTCCGAATCAATGACACAGAAATGGTATCCTCACGTATGATGTGCGACAGAGTATGAACTGAAATTATAGTGAAAATAGAGTTTGATATTTTGAAAACAATTATATTAAAAAGAGTTCATTTTTCTGTCGTCTACATTTTAAAACTTATCTTTACCACAACATTACTTAAGTAAGATCATCCCATCAAAAATTGTTTGTTCGAATTCCTTGGTTTTGTGTACAATTGTCGGATTTTTTATCGGTTACCCGTCCGTCCACCAGCTCATCCGTCATAAGAGATCTTCTATTGCTTACATTGGAATAAAACGAAACTTGATAGAGTTGCTCCGTTCCCTGTGTAGGTCAAAACTTCTGTTTATATTTTGATCAGATTGATTGTTATGCTTCTTATATAGCAAAGTATGGTTCTTTTTGTAACTGTAGTTAAGTTTGGCAAGCAAATCTTACAATTTTATGTTGGAATCAAATCAAACTTGACGAGATTACTTCTATACGACATCTAAATGTAAAATGTACCTCCAAATTGATAGTTCGACCATTTTGTACATCTTATCATTTATTTTTTCATAGAAAACATTGATTTTACTGAATGTAAGGAAGTTTTCAACTCCATGAAGATGGGCCATTAAACTCCCAAATAGGCCACATTCTATTTTCTATGTACTAACACCAATGAGATATGATTGATATATTTTAAAAGCATAAGAAATTATCTATTACATTTACAATGAATAAACGTCCCATTCTTTAGCTTCAGACAGAGGAACAAAGTTTCTGTAATAGATGCGGATATTTTTCATAAAAATTTAGGATCAGATGGGACCCTTTTAAAGTAACCCACCAGGGGCGTAGCTAGGTATCAAATAAACTGTAGGCACAAAATGCGGCAGGGGGTCTGGGGCCGCTCAAGGTCACCAGCAGGTCAAGGGCAAAGCCCTAGTAGGGGGTTCAGGGGGACGAAGCCCCCCGACGGAAAACGGTTTTCATCATTTTTAGGTGCAAAAATTTTGTGTTAAAAAACATTAAATTTACTAGCGATTTTATCATGATAATATACATGAATAAAGGTTCGAAGAATTATAAATAATGTTACAATAAAATCTGACTAAAAATTAACGCAGTACAATCGTAAATCTAAAAAAAAATATTTACAATATGCAAAATTTATTTTTTTGTCCGAAAATTTGCTTTATATTCCAACCAAATTAAATTGTAAATAGATTCACTTCTTATTCGCATCAGAAGAAAACAAACATTACTGAACTAACTAACGCTTCACAACAAATATATTACCAAATAAACAAATAAACGTCGTATGATAGTTCTGCGTCTATTGGTACCAAGTTGATTAAAATCCAACCACAAATGGTCCCTCAATATTTTTAAAAGAAAAAGAAAAAAAAGTCCATTTATATGAAATATATAGCAACAAATTGTAAGTGACGAATCCTTATGGCCATGTACTGTATATCCCACATATTCTTTATTCACAGAACACAATACGTATTCTTTACATTTCCCTTTCCTACAGAACGCATGTTGTATACCCTTATCTTCTTTTGAATACATAAAACATGTATAAAAAGGATATACTGAAAGCGGCAATATTACAACACGTCTATATTATATTCTTTTTACGTTAACATTCGACGTTACCAAATGTGACACCAATATCGTGTCGTTCCATTGGGCTCGGCATCGACCATTCATCGTTTGATTCTTAAACCTTCACCCTCCCCCGGCCACACGAACAGATACACACACACAGTCAATGCCTAATGCAGAAGCTCGGTTCTGTTCATACTATCTAACAAAATCATCAAGAAATTCATATTTTCTGATATCCTGGACTGTAAAATCCCTACCTGCTGAGGAATTTGAATACTTGTGGTCATTACACGACGTAGATCTGAGAGTAATCGTAGTAATTGAAAGCTAGTTGATTGATTGATTGCTAAAAGTCCAGTGGCAAATAGTTCATGCATGTTGAGGACAAAAACAAATTTACAATAAATACAACAGGTACCTGTTAAAAGAGTCGTCCAGGATGAAGGTCTGGAAATTTGGAAATGCCATTGGAAAATGAGGGTTTATTAGATAGGGACAGAAATGTTGCCTTTCATCAGACCACCTCAAAGAGTTGTTGCAAGTGTTCTTACAGTGCAGAGAGCGTGGGCCTGGCATTCTCTCTACACTCGACATCGGATTTAACGTCCCCATTCCGACCAGACGTGACTGTGTATTTATACATCCCGTACAGCCAAACTGACGCCCACTTTGGCAAGGGGTTTATTGTAGGTCGGATGAAGACCAAGTGGAAGCTAGTTGAAAGCCAACAACAACTAAAAACAAAAAAATCACGTATCTAAGAATAAAATTTCAGGGTTTTGAGCAGGTTGAGGTTCATTCGAGTATTTGTTGATAGAAGTCTAGTTTTTAGTTTCTTTATAAGGTGGAATATAATGTACATACAATTCTATCCAATACTACTCCATTCACTAAGGATGATAGACTAATGTACAAATGACATTTGATAATTAATGAGTTTTGACGTCTTCACGTGCATCTACAGATAACGTTGTCATTATTTTTTTTTTATTATTTGTAAAAAAATTATGTGAAGGCACGTGCCTCAAGTGGCAAACGGAAGCTACGCCCCTGCCCACTGCCTCTTCAACAGTTTACATTCGAATGAAGCAAAAAACGAAAAGATTAATTGAAATCGTATTCATCATACATTGTACATTACTACATTACATAACAGACAAAACCAGAGTGCATACAAAGCGATCATCTATACTACCAGAAGTCAATTACTAGAAGAAGTGTGCAACCTGTTCTATATAGTAAGGCGACCACGATGTCCCCTTTATCAGTGGAAAGCGCCATTGGTGGTCCCCCCAAATCTCGTTTTATAACTATGGAATCGTGGGTAAAAATATTATCATCGAACAGATAGCTGTTAATTAGTCTCCTTGAGCGTTTGATTAATTATCAGTTTGGTGTAAATGAAGTCAGCCGACTTAGTGCGGTGGTTTCTTATTGCCAGTTATATAGTTAGTTAACTTCTTCATTTTAATTTAACATTTAGAAAATGATATAAAATTTTATAAACGAATTCATTGCTACCATTTTCATCGCGCAAAGGCAAAGGAGAACTATAAAATTTGCCGTGTCGGACTTAAAATGTATCGTCTATCTAAAAGATGTAGTCGTTTTTGTCAAAAAAAAGTCATAACTGTCTCCTTTTCTAAATAGAACCGCGTTGTGTTGACGAATTATGTCTCGGTCATTTACGGCACCAAGGAAGCTATATATATATATATATATATATACGGTGACGAATAAGCAAAAGACAGGGTTTTTTCTTCGCTTCCACAGAAAAACAATAATATCCGACCATTTGTTGCTTCAGATGACTTCGAAACAATTTCGAATTTCAAAAGTCTCTTGTGTTTTCACCTTTTTTAAATTAAGAGTCATACTTTTCTCATGTTGTCCGTCATTACGTTCGCTATCACAAGATCACGGTATACGGGAGTCAGTGATGCAACGCGTAAAAGTCCTTTTTTTTGTATTTTATGCTCACAAAACTGAAGACATCTGTAGATCATGTGGATTAAAAAATTTGATTTATCGCGTGTTGCTAGCGTAACGTTCATTGGCAAATATAAATATGCATATCCCATCACAGAGTTGTCTCAATTGTAATTTAACATCAGAGATCGTAACATTCATCCTGAATACGCGAGGTACTGGATTTCACTTGAAGTAGCCTGGGATCCTGGCTAACTGCTCGACGAAGTATTAGACTGGGTCAGGATGTCAGGCTAGATCTGAAGTCCCTCCTCCGACCTGAAGCGGCTGCTATTAATGTATACATCCCACACTTGTAAGAAAGGGTTTTACTGTTGGAATCGGACAATTCAAGGAATTACTGACTTCATTTCTTAACGGCACAACTTAACCCTTGAGCTTGATTTAGTATTTGAACAAATTAAATCAAATTGTCCTACAGCTAGGTTTAGAAATAAGACGAAGTATACTTACATAAAGAATATTTATTCATTACTCATTTGTTTACAAAGATCGTGATCGCAACTTTTCCTACAATTTTAACCTATAAAATTTATATGTCGAACGCACGTGTTGAGAACTGCATTTTGTACAAAAAAGTCATGTATCGTTCCCTGTGTAGGTCAAAACTTCTGTCTATATTTTGATCAGATTGATTGTTATGCTTCTTATATAGCAAAGTATGGTTCTTTTTGTAACTGTAGTTAAGTTTGGCAAGCAAATCTTACAATTTTATGTTGGAATCAAATCAAACTTGACGAGATTACTTCTATACGACATCTACATGTAAAATGTACCTCCAAATTGATAGTTCTACCATTTTGTACATCTTATCATTTATTTTTTCATAGAAAACATTGATTTTACTCAATGTTAGGAAGTTTTCAACTCCATGAAGATGGGCCATTAAACTCCCAAATAGGCCACATTCTATTTTCTATGTACTAACACCAATGAGATATGATTGATATATTTTAAAAGCATAAGAAATTATCTGTTACATTTACAATGAATAAACGTCCCATTCTTTAGCTTCAGACAGAGGAACAAAGTTTCTGTAATAGATGCGGATATTTTTCATAAAAATTTAGGATCAGATGGGACCCTTTTAAAGTAACCCACCAGGGGCGTAGCTAGGTATCAAATAAACTGTAGGCACAAAATGCGGCAGGGGGTCTGGGGCCGCTCAAGGTCCCCAGCAGGTTAAGGGCAAAGCCCTGGGAGGGGGTTCAGGGGGACGAAGCCCCCCGACGGAAAACGGTTTTCATCATTTTTAGGTGCAAAATTTTGTGTTAAAAAACATTAAATTTACTAGCGATTTTATCATGATAATATACATGAATAAAAGTTCGAAGAATTATAAATAATGTTACAATAAAATCTGACTAAAAATTAACGCAGTACAATCGTAAATCTAAAAAAAAATATTTACAATATGCAAAATTTATTTTTTTGTCCGAAAATTTGCTTTATATTCCAACCAAATTAAATTGTAAATAGATTCACTTCTTATTCGCATCAGAAGAAAACAAACATTACTGAACT